TAAACGCTTACACGCAACCTTTTTTGTACAACGGGAAATGTAAAGTGCACGTAAAATGCCATAAAACGTACTTGTACATTTGTATATTACGATTTTTTGTAGTTTATACGAAATCTTTGCAATGTCAGACGAGCTTTGTTAAATTAGATGCGGCTTATGAACGCATTGATCCATTGAAAATTACTGTTGTTGGTGGTAATTCTTACCCTGCTCTAAATTTAATAAAAACTAATTTTCTCAATCCCTTGAAGTGTAGCTCAAATCTGCAGTTTCTTTTTATGTCTATATTTTACGAAATATTTGCGCCAAAAACTTGTAATCAAGCGATCCAAGACTAGTCTCAACGATACAGCTACTTGAATTCCACATTTGATTATAGCCGAGTTTACAACAGCGCGTGAGTCGTTATTTCTTTTCGCTGTTTGGTCTTCCTCTACTTCCCTCAGAAGGTAGGGTAGGGATAATGACTAGCTTGGAGAGTTTGTTCTTAGTTCGTCCAGTTCTCAATTGCCTACTCAGTCCAAAGTAGCACCTGCTGGCAAGAGTTATTCTGCGTTGGATTTCCAGGATGACATTGTTGTTGCTGCTAAAGCTGCTTCCAAGATAGACGAAATTATCTACAACTTCGAAGTTATGACTATCAACAGCGAGTGCGATGACTGTTTCTTTGATAACAGGAGATATTTCGTTTTGCCCTGGTTAACTGCCAGACCCATTTGTTTTGCTTCCTTATCCAGTCTGGAAGAATGTTATACCTGCTCGATAAAGTTCTGCAGCTCGAATTATTTTCTCCAGGAGTAGTTTGAAGAAGTCGGTTGATAGGAAGTCAGTTTGTCTGAAACCTCGTTTAATATCGAACGGCTCGGAGAGCTGCTTTTCAGAGGAGTAATTGCTATTCAAACTTCTTCATGATCGAGCCATAGAACAGCCGCACTATCGCCATTGATTGAAGAATCGGGTTTGCCATTTCCTGGTGTTATGCTTTCACTGCCGTCTTCGAGGACCGACTGTAACATTATGGTTAGTTTCACTTTCGAAAAAATATGGACCAAAGATTCCCTCTGCCATAGAGCATATATTTTGAAGATATAACGGCATCTCAGCCATGGCTTGTCGATTATCATCACTCCAAATGCAAAAACTTTACTTATTAACCTATCTCACGCAACCAAAAGTGAGCTTCAGCGCTTAAGAAATTTTGTCGTAAAAATCGTTTTCGGTGGTTGTCTCATTTTGAAACTATTTATCGCATGTGCGACACGAGTTGGTCGCAAAGGTGATCCTTCCGGGAAATATTCTATTAAATACTTTATAGGGATGGGCACAGATCCATCAGTTGCGCGCAATGGCGGTTGAGTTCAGTCGGGTCTTCTTTGATACTTCTCTCCATTATCCACTAAAATAAACGTGGAGCAAAACCGATCCATTTGTGAAACCGTCCTCCAACTATCTTCTAAACTCGAAACCTCGTTTACAAACCTTGTTGGTATTTGAGCTTTCCGAGGTCTTTTCGCATATATGAGTAATATATACAACATTCTCAAATACTATTATCAAATTTTTAAATCACATAATGGCATTTCCTTGGCATGAGAGGCCTGAAAAAATTTACTAAGCACTCGGCTATGAGCTCAGCCATAGGAAGCACTAATTACCATACTCGGTTACATGACTAAGCAAATGTGTTGCAGTCACATGTGTTATAGTATCGCGGTAGCTGTAACACAACCGCCATGCCGCGGCGCGTTGTAGTAGCAATGACCAGACGCGCCGCAACATCCACAACATTCATGGCACAAGGCGGTTCATTGTGTTGCACACACGTTGTTGTAATTAGCGCAACCTTTAATGGCAGCAGATAATAAAATGTTATTTATGTGCTGCTATCATAAATTAAGCGCAACAGCACTTGTTGTTGCTGCTGCTGATGCTGTGGCAGCGCGGCAAAGACAAAAGCAGAAGTGTAATTTTGCATGCAACGCGCTTAAATGAATGCAACTGCAACATTATTAAATACCAAATGGAAGAGTGTGCGAAACTGATTGTGATGATTGTTGCTGCTTTTGTTGTTGCAAGCATTTGCAGTGTCTTGGCACATTAAGCGCTAAAGACTAAACACAAGACTAATGCCACGCCGCACCAGAAAAAACCCGAACAAATTGCAAAGCCAAATGAGCAACACAGCCACAGTGGCCGACACAGCAGCAGCAGCTCCAACAACAACAGCAATGAGCTTGTAAATAAATTTGCAAAACAGCAGCGACAGCATACAGCAAGCGCGGTGGCAACGTGCCGCATTCAACACTAGCGCTGCCAGCGAATGGCCAGCGATTACTTGCACTTAATGCGCTGCTAAGTGTTGCTATTAAATAATGCGACTGTCGACGACGGCGGCGGTAGCAAGTGGTGCTTTGCAGCAATACCGAAAATTAACAACTTGCAACTCCCAACCGAGAGGCGTCAAGTAGCCGAGGAAAGCGAAAATTTGCATTTGGCGGCACAGCGCCGAGCAATCATGTGGCATCGATGATTTATCAGTTGCACTGGCGATTTATCGCACGCCACTGATTGTGGCAAGTAACACACGCAGTCACACCAAGAGCCGCAGCAGGCCCAGTGGCATGTTGCAGCTACCACATTTTCCACCACATTTCGCCAGCCTGCCAACTTTCCGATTGACCGCAGATACGAATAAAGAAATTTCGCATTAAATCATTGCAAGTGTGGCGGCCAGCAAGCAGTGCCACATTTGCGGTGTGCGACCTTTGGCAACACGTGCAACAAAACAGCAGTCAGCAATGAGTTGTGGAAAAAAGGTAGCTGTCGCTACAGTGTAAGTATCAATCTGTGTGTCTGCGAGTGTGTCTTACTGCCGCTTGAATCCCTATTATTCGCGCCATTGTGCCATTAAAGGGGCGTGTCCTGTCGTTTTCTGCTAGCCTTCAGGTGTCACTTTCCATCCATCAAGCGTTTCTTTGGTGCGCTCACTGCGCACTGTAGGTGTGAATCGTATAATTTAGGGTTATCAGTAGGTGTTTCTCGTAGCGTTGCAGGGTCATTTCTTTTAGCCCTTGTGGCAACAAATGCTCCTTAGTACTGCCAAAAGTGCACCACTTTGCCCATAATGATGCGAGAAAAGTGTTGATTCAGCCATTCAACCAAATCGTATGCAGTCGTTAGCGTCCATTACTTATAAACAATTTACAATTCACACTCGATTATCTAGTTTGCTATGAGCTTATTACCACTAAATGCAACACGAGTGGCAATAACCTTCTAAAAAGTTTTCCTTTTTTAAGCCTAAAAACTGCCAAGTTCCTGGTCCTAAAATATTTTATTTTGAATTTGTAATCGTAAACAAGAGATCTGTGAGCCAGCACGCAAGTATTGACATTCCTATTCTTCATCGACTTTGAACTGATCTCATACATTGACCTCCTTACACCTTCTTGTTCTACGATATTCATTACTGCGCTGAAGGACTCTAAAAAGACTTCGAACTCATGATCAACCATCAAAAGTGTAGTTCTCAATCGCTGGAATTTCAATTTACGGTATTTATCACGGTAAACTTTCGTCTTCTACGGTAATCATGGCTACAAGCCAAAGGAATCCTGAAAAGACTTCGATCTGATCTCATGTCCAATTAGACAGAGTATAGTTCTCAATAGCTGGAACTCAAATTTCCAGTATTGAGTTCCGTGAACATTGGTCTTCTATGTACACAGCATTCAGGTTAAAGGAATCTAAAAAATTCCAAGCTGGTCTCATGTCCCACCGCTTGAACTTTAACTGACGGTATTGACCTCCGCAAATCTTTATCTTCTACGGTATTCGTCAGTATGGCGAAAGGAGAGTCTTAAGGAACTTCGAAGTGATCTCATGTTCAATCACAGAAAGTATAGTTCTTTATCGCTTGAGTCCAAATCGACAATACTGACATCCGCAAATCTGCATGTTTTGTGGTACGGTATTCGTCAGTATGGCGATAAGATTTGCGGAGGCTAAACTGAAGTAATCTAAATATATTTCAATTTGATCACAGATTTATCCGAAGAGAATACAATTCTTAATCGCTTGTGAACTCCCACGTTGTGCTTCTCTTTTAGCTTTGGCCAAAATTCTATTCCCGAAAGCTCAAATTTAGGCCTGTCAAAGAGATGACGAAGATCGAAAGCGAAATCTCTCTTATAACAGAGACACCTTAATTTCTCAAGGCATTACTATGTCTACTAACTTCAAATTGTCTAAAAGTAAGTTTTTCAAACACAGATTGCAAGTAAGATGAACTCTTAACGCCTATAAACTCGCCATCAACATCTTTGGAGTTTATGTATTAGGTTGTCAAAAAAGTCTTGCGGTATTTTTGCGGTATCTTTATTGAATTTTCAATTGTTCACAAAATCTTGACCAATGCTACGGCTACTACTATGCCGGTCACTGTCGACCAATTCAGCGATTTTATCGCAATTTTCGACGACAGGCCTGCCGGAGCGTGGCGCATCTTGGACCACCTCTACACCAGAACGAAAATGCTGAAACCATCGTTGTGCGGTGGAAATGGAAGTTGCATCGAGTCCATAAACTGCACAAATTTTATTGGCGGCTTGAGATGCATATTTGCCTTTATCGTAGTAGTACTATATAATATGCCGTATTTTCTCTTTATTTTGCTCCATGTTTGCGATGCTATAACTCACGAACGACTTAAAAGAAACAACAATCAATCAAACACATGTTAGCGCATGAAATGAGCTTTCCAAAAGGGTATAGCATGATCCGATGCGACGAATAAAACTAGAACTACGCGCTCTCAGCGCCAACTAGCGAAAATACCGCAAGATTTTTTTGACAACCTAATATTTAAAAAAATTTCTTTGGACGAAAAGCTGTTTGAGCTACATGTTTAACCTTTACATCTCAACAGTTTACTCTTCAAATAACTTTACTTAAATATATTTAATACTAACGGTTTATTACTTATTTCTGTATTTTTTCAGAATTTTCTCGCCGCCAACGCGCAATGTTGGTGGAATGCACCACTCACCGCCGCAACACGTGCGCTCAAATATGCCGGTCATGTGGCGCCCGGCATGCTATTGGTGACAGCCGAACCATGCGCACTGGAAGTGCTACGCGGCGCCTATGCGCGTAGCGTGCTGAAACCGCCGGCGACTTATGTCATCAGCTCAGTCGGTAAGTGCAGCAATACATGTTAATTATCCGTATAAGCAGATGTATACCCAAAGATAAAATACTCGTAAAATACTCAAAAAAGTAAATAAAAATTAGTTATTTCAAAAGCTCACAAATATTGTGTCTTACTGACAATTTGGTTTTTTACCCTGCACAAAGTATTTTAAATTAGAGACTCTAAAAAGTAAATAATCAATGTGGCGACCTAAGTCAATTTAGCCATATCTATTCGCCCATCTATATATAGTCTCTCAGTTTTTGAGATATCGATCTGAAATTTGGCACATTGTTTTTCCCCTGCAAGAACTTACTCGTTTGTCGAAACCGCTGACATTGGATAGCTTTAGGATATGGCTGGCATGCAAACTGCTCGATCGACATGTAGTTCTTGTATGGAAAACTTCTTTATTTATTAAGGTATCTTCATGAAATTTCACACAAATAATTTTCCTAAGCAAATATATAATCTGTGAGAAAAGTATTCAGATCGGACTACTATATCATATAGCCGCCCTACAAGCTGCACGTTCAAAATCTAGTCCTTGTATGGATTACTTTTTATTTGACAATATATCTTCATGGTATTTAGCAAAGAATATTACCCACGTGATATTTAGTATAGCTAGCGCCACAATCACCTAAGAAATTGTACCGATGAAACCACTAAAGCTCCCACAATCCCAGCAAAAACAAAAACCTATTACAAATTTCATAAATTGTATCTCGTTCGATTTGATTTATTTACAAAATCACCAATCAAGTAGCTGTCAAAATTACAATGTCAATAATGAAACAATGGAAAGAGCAAAGCAAAGCAAGAAGACTACAAAAAATAAAACGAATTGAAATCGTAAACAATGCCGCGCTACAATCGGTCGCTGCCTTTGAGGCCTGTTGAATATTTATTGCAAGCAGCACCTTCGCTTGCATACATTCGAACTTGTAAATTATAAATGGTTAATTAAAGCAACAACAAGCGGTGATGTTTACAATTTACGATTTATAAAGACAACAAAACGGCAGCTGCTGGCGACCGGCACACCAATAACGATAATGAAGCGCAGAGTGGACGTCGACAGTGGTTGCAACAGCAATTACAACAGCAGCAAATGCAGCAATTTTGTTGTTGTTGTTAAAAACAGCAGCAGCAACAGCAACTAGTGAATGCATAAAGCTTAGCGCTTGCCAAACCAAACACTTTGTGGCCATGAACTTGTCCATGACTCTTAGCCATTGACTATTTTTCGCCAGCCAATTGCAATCATAATTAAATTCAAGCAATAAATGTTGCCGCCAATGCGAAAGAAGTTGCACTTACAGACGTAATACATATAAGTATATGCATAAATATAAGTAAAGGGTGGTACATAATATGGGACTCATGTAAGACTCAGTTTGTGCTGTAGCTCACGATATGTTGCTCGGTAATCGTTTCCTCTTCCAGTTTACTCGGTTCTCCACAAATGATCTTAGTAATCGTTTTGGGCTTATATAACAATATTATCAGAAATTAATTTAATGTCTTCGTGTTAACGCTTTGAATTGGTTATTGTTATTTCTTCGCTGGAACTCGGCTCTCCACAAAATGACTTTAGTCATGTATGGTCTTAAGGGACTTCGAAGTGATCTCATGTTCAACCACAGAGAGTATAGGTCTCTATCGCTTGAATTCAAATTGACAGTATTAACCCCTGTAAATCTACATGTTCTGCAGTATTCATCATTGCACTGAAGCTATCTAAGAGCTCATCTCATATTAATTCGACGAGAGTTATCGTTCATCAGTATAAGTGTTAACAGTTTGATTCAGTAATCTTTTATTCTTCGTGCTTACTCGGCTTTCCTAAAAGTAGTCTTAGTGAAGGATTTGGTCTTATATAATATTATCATCACGAATAGCTTCATCGGTATTTCTGTTAACACTTTCAATAGCTGAGTTCAATTAAGGCATGGAATATCAAGACGTTTTTTTATTTTTTATAGCCTGCAAATCGTTTCGACCTTGTAAACGAGGGAGCACTGCTTTCCAATCTCGAAAGTAATTAATTTTGCTTACCGGAACTGGGTGGTCGTTGCTTTTCTTCATATTAGCAAAAGCAAAGACCCGCTACGCTCCAAATATTCCCATAGTAGAAATATAAGCCAATCTGAACCACCCTGTACGCATACAATGCCACGTACCTTCGTCTGCAGACATTGTCATTGCCTCCGTATTTCGTTTTAACTGTCCGTTGCGGCAACAAGTTAATTAAGTTTTCTACACTTATTCGACCATAACGGTTAGCGAATTTCTTCTGCTCTTACGAATACCTAAATTACTACGTCATTGTTTTTGCATTTAAAAGCAATTTTTGTAGTACGCTAATATTTACCAGTATTTCGAAAAAAAAAATTATGTAACTTGTGAACACTAGACATTTTTCCATTTTGTTTTTCAAATTTGTTTTTATTTTGCTAAGACACCATATGCCACAAGTCACTTACACACATATCATCCAAATTTCAAGTGTAGCACAAGACAAACAAATTTGCAGTGAAAAGCAGCAAAACCACCCAAAAAATTTGAATTTGAAAAACTGACAAAATTGCGTTGCTCATTGGACGGAGGTCGAACATGAGATCCACCGCTGCTGCTGCGACAAGTACGCGAAAACCGAATCCGCTGCAGGATGACGATCTCTCCGAACTAACCAAAAGGGAAATACTCTTTTGGGCGCGCAAACTCAAACTATCACCGTCAGAGCTATTTACGCTCTCCAAACACGAACTGGAGTATCATCTGGAACGAGCACAGCAAGAAGATCTTGAAGAGGAACAGCGACAAAATCAATATGCGAAATGGGAGATGCTGTCGGAGATGAAACGTTTTTTGCTCGAAGAGCAACATAAGGAGCGTTTAAGAGGCGGTGGAACAGGAGCAATACCGAACCGGCGCACAATTTGGGATATTTTATGCACCGCTGTCAGCGAAATCGAATCTATATACGAACATAGGCAAGCGTATGCGGATACTAGCGCCGATTCGTATCCATACTCGGATACCGGTGGCTCTAGTAGTTACGGCGGTTTTGAATCGCCACAAGTGCCGAATATGTGCTCGACTATGTATGAAATGCATCCCGACGACTCGCAATGTACGCCGCCAGATTTTCCCTCCACATTTACGGCCACACCAATCAGCTTTGGGAGATCCCAGCAAAACTGTGTCAGACAATCGCGGCCTTTGAACGCCACCTACAATTTGAATGCGGCAAATGCAACGTATAATGCATGCGCCGCGCGGAATGCGAGCAGAAGTCCAAAGCGCGTTGGTGCGCCGAATGCAACATACAACGCCTGCGCGCCATGTAATGCCACCTATAACATGCCACTTGCTACAAATGACATCTACAGCAACGCATGCCCGGCGGCGGGGAATACCACCTACAATGCGATACGTGGTGCAAATGCCACATATGATATATGCAGACCGCAAGCCGTGAACGCTACCTATAATGCACCCAGTTGTGCGCCAAATGCCACCTACAATATACCGAGTTGTGCAGCAAACACTACCTACAATGTACCGCGTAACGCGCCGAATGCCACTTACAATATACCGCAACGCGCGCCGAATGCTACCTTCAATGTACAGCGTTGCGCGCCCAATGCCACTTACAATGTTACACGTACTACACCAAATGCCACATATAATGTATCGCGTTGCGCGCCGAATGCCACCTATAATGTAGCGCAAGCTCGTACCGCTACACAAGCGAGGTGCCCCAATGGAACATTTAATGTGTCGCGTGGCGGTAATCGCACCTTCAACGCTAGTCCACAGCGCGGTAACGTTACTTTTAATGTGTGCCCCCGTTCGGGTGGTGCCGGTGCGACACCGACTTTCTGCCCGAATCCCGCAATGGCATCCACACCGAAGAACTGCCCACATACCGGTCAACCGCCTTATTTTCGCAACTACACCGATTATTGGCTGACATTCTCGGGCATGGGCATCGCTGAAGCGTCACAGAGTGTGTCATATGACATGTTTAGCGACAACAAAAGTATGGTGCGTGCTGCGGCGCGCACTTATTCCATACCGCATCGCAGCAAGTCTTGTCCACCGGTTGGGCGTACAAATAGTCCACAGTGCGGCTATAGTTCGGGCGATAGTATGCCATGCCCACGTGGTGCCACGCGCGCAACCTCACCTATGCGCTGCTCCTCGCCAGTTCAAGCTATAGCAGCAGTTAATTACGGTATGTCGCCTGTAGCACGGCCGCCAGCTGATCGTTATAATGGCGGACCGCGTCGGTTGTGTCGCCGCAATACGAATAATTGCTTTTGCGATTGCGCACGTCGTTCGCGGAGTGTGCCGCCGCGTTGCTGCTTTTAAGTCGAAATTAAAGTCGCATCGCGCAGAATTGCTGAAGTTGAAAATATATATTTATTGTATTTTGTAAAGAACTTTACTTTTTAGAAATAAAAACTCACTTAAATGGTCCTCATGTACAAACAATTTATTTTGGATTACTAATTTTTCATTGAGAAAATCTTTAGTTTGTATATGTTTGGTCGATCCCCTTAAATTTAACTAGATTTCAACTAAATCATTTTGTGATATTTCAACTTGGTCTTTGTACCAAGGATTTATTCACATCTTAGCTAGGGGATTTTCTGTAACTTTAGGATGCTTCATAAGTTTTCGAATTTTAAGAGTTCTTAGATTACATTAGCTTACACTGGCATGCTGTCACACCAGACATCTACTGGTCTTTGGTAATGCCAGATGGAGCTTAAGTTTAATATGAGCTGAAGTATTCGTCACATTGGCCATTAACGCATTTACGAACTTTTAGAGTGACTTTATATCTTGGCCCTTGAACTGCGAAGCTCCTAGACATCTAAGACAAGTTCTAGATAAGGTTGGATACCATGATTCCAATCTCTCTCATACCTACTTTCTTGCCATATATCTTCATTACTAATGCCCATCCGGGTCGCGTTTGATGCCAGTT